ACAGGCTATTACCTTCTCCATTTGAACACAATTTCACAGACCACCAACATGTCTCTGTGTACACTGTGGAACAAGACATAAAAACACACCATAATCGATATATCTGAGAACAGACACAAACAAAACGCTGTCCAAACCACAAAATGGCCTAACATCGCCCTCTCCCGGCTAATCTCGGTAACTGCTACATCTTTACTGATAACACCTTCAGCCAGCTGTCCGTCAGCCTCCTAGAGCAGCATTATTATGACACCCAACGTAGAATTGTCCGTGCTTTCTACCAGCACTTAATTCAGAGTGTTGTGGGTTCAATTGTGTCCCCCAAAAAGATGTTAAAGGCCTAATGCTTGGTGCCTGTGAATGTACCTGATTTGGAAATAGAGTCTTTACAGATGTAATCTAATTAATACGAGGCCATACTAGAATTGGATGGGCCCTAATCCAATAACTGGTGCCCTTAAAGGAAGAGGGAAATGTGGATATAGAGACACAGAGAGAAGAAGGCCACATGAATACACAAAGGAGGCAGAGATTAGAGTGATGTGGTGCCAGCCAAGGAACGCCAAGGATGCCTGCAACCGCTGGAAGCTATGAAGAGGCAAAGAACCCTTCCCTGGAGCCTTCAGAGTGAGCACGTCTTTGCCAACACCTTGATTTCAGACTTCTAGCCACCAGAACTGTGAGGGAGTAAATTTCTGTTGCATTAAGTACCCAGTTTATGGCAATTTGTTACAACAGTGCTAGAAAACTAATATACAAAGTAAAACCCTTCTTCATTGAATCTTCTCCCAAAATTTCCTAATACAAGCCCCAAACCTATAACAAGCCCTCCTAATGTCCTTTTACTGAAACAACCCTTGGTTTCCTCATGGTTCTCATGTTTCCCCATAGTGTGTGGTCTCCCTCGTTGCAGCAAGTAATAAACCCAATTGTGTTTGATTATAGGTGTGTTTCTGGTTATCTTTGGCTTACAGTCATCAACCTCTCCTTCACTTTTGTTGAAAGCAAAGAATTGGAAACTACCTGATTGATAAAAGTATTTGTTATCTAATCAGTCACTGTAAGCATTTCTTTGTTCAAGATCAATATTTGGAATTACTCCGTTGTTTGGCATCCTGGAGGTTTTTGCATCCTGGGCAATGCACTATAGTAAGATTTGGTTTGGATGAGAGCAGGGCTGCCAGTGGCATCTACTGAGCCCTTGTTCCTGTGGCATATGACTTGGTGGACAAAGCCATGTGAAGACTGGATTTTTAAGCCCCACGCTCCTCCTCAGCCAGGCACAAACCGTGCAACCAGGAGTGGCAGCGAAAGAGGGCCCTTGTGAAGAAACAGTGTGACTACAGACATGTTCTCAAGGAGATAAATTTTAGCAAAGAGACTATATCAAAGATAATGATCTGGAATTTTCTTTGTTACTTCCTTTAAAACTGCCCATCCACAAATATCCCTTGGGAAGTCTTCATGTACCCCAGGGAGTATGCATACCCTAAGTATAAAGACCATTGCTCTACAATATGGAAGAGTTCCTCAGCATTGCTGTCCAGAGTACCAGCTTGGTCTTTAGTCCTCTTCATTCTATCGTCCAGTGCATCCAGTTAATTTTTTTCTTTTCTTGACTATATTATTATTAATTTGCAGAGACTTTTTCTGTTTCTTATCTCTGACTAATTCCTTTTTATAGAGCATCTTGTTTTATTTTAGGGATCCAGTTTCCTCTCAAATCTCTCTGAGAATTCCATGTAAATTTCTTTTTAATACCTCTTCTGTTCCATAAATTATCTCCTTTTCCTCCAAGGTTGCTTATTCAGTTCATTCTTCTCATTCCTTCTATTTCTTGCTGTTGATTTTTCCAAAATGCCTGTTGATGTCCACTTATTGGTTTATAAGTATGGATGAAAGACTAATTTGATTAGTGTGAACAGCTTATTTCCCCAAAATGCTCCTTCCTTGTGGGAGTATAGGATGTGTGGACAACAGGCTTCCCCACAGAGTGTGTGGGCATGGAGCAGCCAGGAAGCCAGAAAAGTCCCCATTAAATGCCAAATAATAAATATTTTCCTTCTAAAATAATACATTTCAGTGGGTTTCACTCCTGGATGAAGCTTTCCTTTATTATTTTTGAATCTCAGTGACTAAAGTGGAAGTTTGGAATCATGTTTCTCTCCTTTGTTTTCCTTATCTTCCAAGCCTAATTTCTTCTCCCAATATTTCCTAATATCTCCCCATGGCAGATCTCCTCCCTTCCTCTAAAAGGCAGTCCTTGGTTTTAGTCTGGTGGGAAAGTCAGCACTAAAATCTCAAGAGCCCTGTTTTCTCTACCTGGGGTTGGGGGGAAGGAAGGACAGAGAAAGGAGGGACCTGTAAAGCTGATTGTTCCAAGTGTTGATCTTTGGCTAATTCCCAAAGATCGCCGAAGGACCTGTGTCTGCTTTCCTTGCATGTATGTATTGACACTGCATGCATTGCAACTTGTATGTATTGATGTTGGGTTTGGAGTTTCTTGGAGGCCTCATTGAAGGGCAATTCTTCCCTCCCTCTGCTTTGGGGCTACAATTTTCCCTTCTCAGTTGGCCAGGCTGTTTCCATGTGCTGTTCATCTTCCAGCGTTTTTTTCAAAACTTTCTTCCTGCTGCTGGTTTCCCTTTCCATTGTGGTTTTATTGGTCAGGTGCAGATATAAGTGTAGACATAGAGCTTTTAGTCTTTCTGTGATTTGTGAGAATTGGAGGAAGAAGTAGCAGTGTATGTATGTTCAATTGACCACCTTGAAACAGAAAAAACATTAGCTCTATTTTTAAAGATATATAGACATATAGTATAATGCAATATTTGTATAATGCTTAACAAGTCCCCGAAGAAATTCTACACTTTAGATGCCACAAGTACATATTCATTTTTCTCCACCATTAGGATTCTGCTGTAGAAAAAATTAAAAACCACTATGTTAGCCTGTGCAGCTATGCCTTCTGCTCAGGAGTTCTTGTGTGCCATCCACTGCCTACCTTCTAAAGACAATGAAAACTTTCATTAGTAAATTTTTTCAATTTTTTTAAGACCTTAAGTTTGTCTGTTCCATCTGTTAGAGTCTTTGAGAACCTGTCAGGATTTGCAGAGGTAGATAAGTGGGGGTTATGAAAAAGAAGGAAAATTGGTCAGATTGTTATTTTACTTAAAAATAAAATTAGATTCACATCACCCAGAGAGAGGCAAAAAGACATAGCCCAGTATTCACGTAAAACTGTTGCTTATCTGCAAATACTATCTCTTTTCTACTTAATAGTTCAGCTCAAAAGGTAACTTTTGAAGGAGGTGACTGTACAATACAAAATTAAATGGCTTTATTTTGATTTCAGATGATGGGTCGCTTCTTCAGTGGCTTGGCACAGTCAGGGGCCTGGTGCTGCTTTGATGAATTTAATCGAATTGACATAGAAGTTCTGTCAGTCATTGCGCAGCAGCTCATTACCATTAGAAACGCCAAAGCCGCAAAGGTAAGGCATTGGGCAACTGTCGCTTCTAAGTTTGTAATCAACGCACAGAATGTTGCATTTTAGGAAGGACATTGCTAACTAACTTTAGCCTGTCTGGTTCATGTTTTCAATGTAATTGGTAGGTACTACACCAACAGGACTCACTTGGGTGAATTAATTCCTCATCTAGGCAACACAGAGAAACACGTGTGTGTCACTATGCTATGCTGGGCCCTGGGAATACAGAGATTGTGAGACTCAGTTCCTGCCCTCAAGTAACTCTGTTCTTCCCACCCTGAAAGACACACACACACACACACACACACACACACACACACCCTGTCCTCTGCCTTCCACCTCCTGTTGTCCTCCGCCTTCCACCTCCTGTTGTCCTCCTCACCTCTCTTGTTCTTGCCTTTGACATTTACTTCTTCGCCAGTTTTTCCTGACACTGCCTCTTGCAGCCGCACAGCCTTTATCATGGCCCCCAGGGTCCCCCTACTGCTGGTGGGAAAACGGGAGGAGTCCTGGAGAACCCAAGGGAAGCTTGACTCTCCAGAACTCCCTGGACTGGAAAATTTAAGATAGCGAAGTGGTCCTGTTAAACTTTGTTTTAGCCCCTTATAAGCATGTCCCTGGAGAAGGGGTTTTCCATTCAGAAGCTGGTGGCAGTGAAGGATGGGACCCGTCCCTACCACTCTGTTAAGACCTTCTGAGATTCGTTCACCAATGGGCAACACTGATATTCAGCCTGTACAAACCGGAACAGCCACTGCCCCAAGTACCTCAGGGGTCCGCCACTACTTCCTTGGCCCCTTTCAGAAGAGCACCAGACCTTCCCAGGATCCATCAACAACGGACTCAGCTCTAGCTCAAGGGGCAGAGGCCATCTCATGAGAAAGTGCCCTGATAAAGAGTTAAATATTTGGGGGATGATCATGTTGGCAAAAAAGCAAATTATAGAACAAATAAACAGAAAGCATGAATTGGACTCTAATGAGCTGCTAGATTGTACAGTCATTATTGTATGTACTTACATTTATTTCAACTTTACACCAAACCTATGAGAAATAGATATTATTTTCCCAAGATTATAGGTGAAAAGGATTCAAAGAAGTTAAAGAAAACATTTCCACAGAAACTATAGAACCAAGATACATACCGAAATCTATGGGACCCTAAAGTCTGAGCTCCTTCATCTGTACTCCCTCCTCCTGCCTCCCACATACTCTGGGGAGGCCTATATTAAATACAAGGGCCTCAAGATGTAGCATAACTTGTAAGTCATTACCATCTTACTGAGCAGTTAGCTGAGAGCAAAGTATGGGGAGTACAGGGGCAGGGCCCAGAGAGAGTAGAGGAAGGATTAAGGATGACCAGCTGGAGGGCAGCCCCGTGAGGGCAGAAGTAGGTAGGAAAGTACCTGAGATTGACCAACCTCGTCCTCGAGGTGCCAGCGACCAAATGAGACAGTGGAGTAGGATATATCTCCTGAATAGATGAAGAAACCAAAGCGTAGAAATGGGGGGATTTGGCTAGCACTCTCAGGCATTTAGTGACAGCAGGACTGGTCTCCAGTTGTACCTCCGAGCATTATCACCTCCAGAATGAGACGCGTCGCCCAGCTCCATCCTGGTCTTCCCCTGTATTCCTCATTTTTGTTAACAGAACCTTCATCCAGTGGCCCAGCTAGAAAGGTGGACTTCGCTTTGGATTTGACCCACTACTATCAATCCCAGGATCTAAACCTTCATCAAATCCTACTAATTTTTTCCTCTAGATGTCTCTCTTCCCCACTTATACCTTTGGAATTCTGGCTCCCATCTCCTCAGTGACATTTCCTTACTAGTCTCACTGTCCATAGTATGCCCAACCCCTCCACTGCCATCTTTGATCTTATCACTCTGCTTAGAAGTCTTCTCTGTTTCCCTCCAATCATGGGACAAAATCTAAATTCCTTAGCTTAGTGTGCAGGACTGGCCTAGCTATACTTTCCCTTTGAAATGTTACCTTTAGGAAAGTGAATTGCTGTTCATGCCTTGAACATATAGTGTTGTTTCTTGCTCCTTCTCCTTTTCCTGGAGTGGCTACCCCTGTTTATCTACCCAGAATGTCCCTCTTCATTCTTCAGTCTCGAGCATGCTTCCTGTTCCCCCCATGGGCTTTGCACACACCTCCACCATAGCATTTGTTGCATTGTGCAGTCATGGTTTCCAGGCTGATTCCCCCAGCAAGCCCAGTGGCTTGTCAAGGGCTTGAGAGTGAGTCTCCCTCAGCTCTGTGCCTCCATGTCTAACCTAGCGCCTCACCTGCAACAGGTGCTCAATGGTGTTTGCTGTTGAGTGAAAGTGAAGGAGCGGTGCCAAAGACAGTGACAGTCGGGCCTTAACCACCCAAGGACTGAGGCTACAATGGAATTTTGTGGGGAATACCAGAAAGTGGGAGTGGAGGTTTAGTGGTCATTAAGTCCAAGCTGAATTGAGGAGCAAAAGATGCCAAGGCCTAGAAGATTTCAGGACTGGGCCAGGAAGGAAGAGACAATTTGGTCAAGGTAGGGTCAGGGAGTCAGAGAGCAGGAAACATTGCACACAGAAGAGACTGGAAGTAGGCAGGACACGATCAGGAGAGAAATGTTCCCTGTTGTCCAATGGCAGGAATCAGCAGTCTTTGCTTCAATGCTCCTTTGCATGAGTCATGCTACTGAATAATAATTTTGTGAAAGAATTTACAAATGTCTGGAGGAGTGTTAACTTATACTTTCTCTTTGAACAGCTCTCTAGATTCATGTTTGAGGGGCGGGAAATAAAGTTGGTTATGACTTGCGCAGCCTTCATCACAATGAATCCTGGATATGCAGGCAGAACCGAATTGCCAGATAATTTAAAAGCCCTGTTTAGACCATTTGCAATGATGGTTCCAAATTATGCCTTGATTGCAGAGGTGAGCTTCACATTATAAAGCAGCAAAAATGTAAGCTTGTTTCTTTTATTTACCATTTAATTCTATGGAGGTAGGAAGATTCCTTTCTGAATGCACCCTAATAATGGCTACAATGATTGTTTGCTCTTAAGTGTAGATATGATTGTTATCATACAGAAAATTTCCTTCTGTGTGTTTGTTTATTGCTATATCCATAATGCCCAAAATGATGTCTGTAATATATATAGACTCCTAAAACTGGAAACAATCACTGAAGTTAATTAACAAGTTCATTGGGGTTTATCAGTTCCTCTCTAGGAATTAAAATGTCTGGATTAGTTCTAAAAAGACAGTATGAGCCTCACTTCTCTTTGCACATTATTTTTTGTTAGAGTCAAGTGATGTTGAGTAGAAGCAGTGCTAATCACTAAGATGGAGGGCAAAGATAGATTTGTAAATCTGTATCAACTTAGTAAAAAATAGTGATCATTAATAAATTATTTATGATTGTTTTTGTTTTTTCTGTATCTACCTAAGCATCCTTCTATTTAAACTGGCTTTACATAGCCAAGAATTTAAATACTAACCAAGAAAATCAATATATTTAAATTTTACATTTTTTTCTTTTTTAGTTTTTGGTTTTTTGTTTTTTTTTCTTTTACAGATGGGGTCTTACTATGTTGCCCAGGCTGGACTCAAACTCCTGGGCTCAGGTGATCCTCCTGCCTCAGCCTCCTGAGCAGCTGGCACTACAGGCACACAGCACTGCACACACCACTGCACCCAGCTAAATTTTACACATATTTTTCTTGGCACTTTTTGCTGAGGTATAATTTATACACAGTAAAGTGCACAGCTCATTAAGTGTACAGCTCAGTGAATTCTTGCTCATGTATTCATTTGTGTGACCACCAAGACCAAAATATAAGGCATTTTCAGGACTTCGGAAGGCCCCTTGTGCTCAGTGTTGCACTTCATAGCAAAGGACACTGCCCATTTTAGAATGGAATTTCTCAGAAAGCACAGATCACCCCTTCGGCTAATAAATTCCTTTGATAACAGCTAATTTTAAACATTCTTCTATACGAACTAAAACTAATTGCTTAGAATAGAGTAGACCATGCCAAATCCTATCATTAGAAAAATGACAACTTATATTAATATAATGCTCACAGCATCTCATGGGTCCCCAGCACCCCATGCAGGCATGGTGGAGTGGGGGACAGTTAAGGCAGGTGATGTCTTAACTCTTGTTCTCTGTGAACAGGGACAATAAATGACTAGCACATTATCCCAAACTAGTAGGAAGAAAACCAGCTGTAAAACCCAGTCTAACATGTTGTTCATATCTCATGCTTTTGCCCTATTGTTATGTTACTCAGTAATGAATTGGAAAAATTTAAAAATCCAGTCTTCTGGGTGCTCTTCCTGTTGTTGTTAGAGATTGAATGAACCAGGTTTGACATCAGTAAATATTTTTAACCACCTACTGTGTGCAGAGCACTGTGCTAATCAGTAGGGATAGAGCAGTAAGCAAAATAGACCCCAGTGAGAAATCTCTACCTCGTTTCAAATCCTGCTTCTGGGGCCAACTGCAGTGTTTCAGGCAGATTATGGATAGAAGGTAAGGTCCACTCCCACCTCCACTGTCCAAGACACTAGGCATCACCTGAGTACTGTAACCAAGGATGCAGAAACTTGTCAGAACAAGGGCAGAAAAGAGGCTGCAAATCTTTGCATAGCTTCCCTTGCCTCCCAGGGAACCTAAGGAAGCAAATGGCGATCACTGATACTGTCCACCAGGGTGGCGTTCCTGTCAGATCAGAGAAGCTCAATTCTTGCTTTTGTACTCAGACCTTCTAATACCATCCAACCTCTATGACGGGAACATTTTCAAACACTGGGCTC